AAAAAATTTGACGATATGTGACCAGTAAATAAATCTGTAACTTAAAATTATGAATATATGACCATTAATCACAAAATGTGACTTTATTATCTTTATTTAATCCATACCTGATTTTTGAATTTTTAATCTATTTACCCTATTTTTGAATTGAGGTAAAGAATACACCTTAAATATGATTTTTTTTCCCTTTTTTTAAAAGAAAAAATTTCATATCGAAGAGATGAAGTTTACTCATTTCAAAACTAAGAAACAAGATTTTAAACTTCAAAAATCAAATATTAATTAAATTTTATTTATGAAATAATTAATTAAAATATATTTTATAAATGAAATATTACGGTCACAATTATTGAATTAATTAATCACGAATTAAAAAAAAGTATAAGTCACAAATTATTTCATGGTCACAAATGAAACATTTTAGGTCATAATTTGTTCATCAATCATAAATTTAAAAAATTATAGGTTACAATTTATTTATCAATTACAAATCACAAATTTTACAAGTCACAACTTATTACACGGTCACAAATTATCAAATTGCTGGTTACAAATTAACAAATTTTTAGGTAACACATTATTTATTAATCACAATTTATCTATTTCATTGATCACATATTACTTATTGATCACACATTAACCAATTTATTGGTCACAGTCAACTAAATAATGTGTGACGACCACCACCAATTGTGACCATCCCTGCCAGAGCCGTCGCCAGAGCCGTCGCCATAGTCATAGACAACGGGCACCACCACCACTATGTCCACCATCTCAAACAAACTAATACCCACCACAAAAAACCATCATGAGCACCACCGCATCAATTAAATGGAAAAATCACCACGGAACCACTACCACTACCACCACCACGATCGCAACCGTACCACCATAAGAGCTACCACCATTGCCAAATAAACCACCACTAACAGCGCCGCCACCACCCAACAACATTGCACAATCACACCACTGCAAAATACAACCAATCGCAAAAAATCACCTACAAACACCACCACACCATAAACACCACCAACTACAGGGGCTTAGTAGACTTCGACTGTCATCACAAACAGTGTCGGTTCTGTAATTTTGGGGGCATGAGGCAAATTTCATAAATTAGGCCCCAAAATGGTAGGTGCATGCAAAATCTACACGTGTATTATGGATTCAATATTTAACTTGTTAATTCAAATACTTAACAATAAAATAACAAATAAAATGTATTATACAAAATATTTATATTATAATCAAATAACAAAGCCGACAATGTTCCAAACGTTTTACCAACGAGAAAAGGGAAGAATGAAATAGGCTAAAATCCAATGGGCCCTCCAACGTTTGGCTCAAGGCGTGAGCCTCACTCTCCTCTATGCAAAATCGGCCCTGATCACAAACATCAACAATGGTATCGAAATATGTATACTGCTCAACGCTCCACCTCGCATAGCATCAGGATCTCTCGGCGCTTCTCCACCTCTCGAATTCTTGCAAACAACTTCGTCATCGATACGCAATGGAATCAGCGATGCCACTCTCAAATTAACACTGCCATCGAAATTTATATACGTCGCACAGATCAAAATCTCATGCTGCTCCACTTCACAAAATATCGCAGCTCACCACTCCATTTTGCACAGATCGAAATCTCACGCCGCCCTACCTCCTACAACTGCTCCATTGTGTCGTGTGTGGTAAAGACACAGAGATAATGGCGAGATGAAGAGAGAATGGAAAGGGGAAAATGAATATGGTTAGGGGTGAGAGATTTAGGTTTTGGCTGTTTGGGAATTCAAAACGATGGATAGATTAATTTAATTAATATTAAAATGTTTAAATTTTTATCTGATTTTTGAAAGAAAAATTTTCAAATATGAATTTTCAATTGGACATTTTAAAACTTTGGATAGGTGTAATTTTCATTTGTTTTCTATGGGAACACTTTAACAAGCTAGCCCATTTACCACAAGGCCCGAATTTAGGGATGGCAATGGGCCTCCCCACCCCGCTAAGAAATTCCCCGCCCGTTACCCGTTTAAGGCAAGGCAAGGCGGCCGGGCGGGGCGGTTTCCCCGTTAAATTTTTTTTTTTTTTAGGTTATGATAATTTAGTTTTATTGCCATATTTATTAGATTTAAACAAATAATTTTAGTTGTTATTTTCTATTAGAATTAATGAAAATTTTCATTTAAAGTATTGAATTATAAAAAAAATCCCGTCCCCGCCCCAGGGCAAAATTCCTGCCCCGTCCCCGCCCGTTACCCGTTTAAACGGGTTATCGCTACCCCGTTCGGGGCGGGACAGCGCGAGTATCGAGTTTATCGGATATTTTTGCCATCCCTACCCGAATTGTGGCATTCAAAAGTCTAAGGTGTACTATGTTCGAACGAGTTATGTATACTTACGGGTCCACCATCTGCATGGCTTCCACGTTTCATTTTATTGAGAATACGTGTAAACCCCAAAATTGGCTTCTCTCCATGGTCTTCTCCTTCTTTTGCTTGCTGCTGATGAGACAAAAAGTTCACGCACTTGAGAATCCAGGTACTGAAGCTCTAGGCCTGAATATATAACACTCTCAGAAGTTCATTTGAGCAAAATATACTAATTCATTATGTCTACTCCACCGGAATCTCCAACTAAAGCTCACTTGCCAGGCATTTTTCTCTCTCTCTCTCCCTCCCTCCCTCCCTGCGCGCGCGCAGTAGAGCAATACATGAACGCAGAAACAAATCCATAACAACATCTTGTGCTAATTACATAACACGTTCTTTTTTATTAGGTACTGTTTTGGTTGCTGATGAGCCGCAATATCTACCTGAAACTCATCTACACGACAAGCCAGGTCTCTCTCTCTCCCTCTCTGATGAAAATTTTGAATAAAGATCATTTAGAATTACTAAGATTTTTATGTCCTACTTTTTTCAGAATTAGTGCTTTTACAAGATTTGTTCCGCGGCGACATATAAGGTCTTGGTGCTAATTAACTTCTTGTTTCATTGCAGATGTGCTGAAATCTGTGCCTGAAGCTAACCTCCACAATAAATCAGGTATCTCTCTTTCTCTAGCAAACACTGCAAAATTAGAACAACTGCTTACCCTCCCTATTTCGTTACAGATTTTGTGAAAGATCTAATGTTTTGGCGAAATAAGCGTCTGAACGTTCTAGTTTTACTGGTAACAACAGCAACATGGGTGGTGCTAGAAATCTATGGATACAATTTCATCACTGTAGCTTCTTGGGTGTCCATGGCACTTGTGTCTTTCATGTTCCTTTGGGGCAGTACTCACAGGATCCTCAGAAAGTAATTAATTTACAAGATACCATTTCTTTTTAAAACCTACCTATAATTTCCATCAGAGTTTAAAAGGTTTTACTTTCAATTATTTCAGAGAGGATCCAGACCTGTCAGGAATGGAAATTAGCGAGCAGTCAGCCATGGAGTCTGCAAAGCTACTTCGAGAACAAGTCGAGAAAAGTGTTCGATTAATATTTTGTGTTGGTGCAGAGAAAGAATGGTTTGTGTTTGCCGGGGTTGTTGCTTGTCTGTATGCAATGTCCTTGGTAGCAAACTGCTTTGATTTGCTTACGCTTTGCTACATTGGTAAGAGTTTGTTCCATCCATCAGTCCTCACTATCTATGAAAATTGTACACATTATCTGTACGGCTTTCTTGCAGGTGTTGTAGGGGGGTTGACTGTACCTGTGATTTACGTGAAATACGAGCATAAAATAAGGGAATATGGAGAAAGATTCAAGATGAAACTACAAAGATTGCATATCAAGATTGAGGAGATTATGCAGAAAATGAAGAAAAAGATGGCTGGAGAACACAGAGAGATGAAAGAGAAGAAGATGGAGTAGAGTAGCAATTCATCGATTAAAAAACTAGTGTTGTGATGTGTGTTATGTATGTACAAGTTGTAATTGTTTTCACTTTTTATAGATTTGCAGAGATCCAGTGATGTTTATCTATTTATAAATTTTATTAGATCAAATGTCTTAGTTGGATCCGTGGCGCAATGGTAGCGCGTCTGACTCCAGATCAGAAGGTTGCGTGTTCGATTCACGTCGGGTTCAATCCCCCCTTATCCAATACCGATCCTCCAATTTTTTGTTATTTGGGTTTCAATCTAATTATTTTGAAAGAAAAGAAAAGGAAAAAAAAAAAAACTCTTCTTCTTTGGATCCATTGGGTAGTTCTTCCCCCCACCTCCCCTCAAAAAAAATAAAAAAAATAAATATATATATATGTATAAAATTATCCCACCCCCACCACCCCACCACGCCGCGACTGCTCCGGCGATGTCTCCCATTCCGACGACTTCTCCGACGACCACTCCGATTTCGGCGACTGCTCTGATTCGACGACTATTCAGATGACATCAATTTTTTGTACGGTAAAAGCCCAGGTCACAAGTCACAGTCCAGGTCACAGGTCACAACACATGATTTTTTGTTTATAATAATTGATAACACAATAAGGCTCACGTCTCACATTTTTATTAATAGTCACAGATTANTGCACGAATGTATGTATAGTAACAAAATAAGTTCAAATTTTAGAAAAGACAAACACAGTATAAAATATTAAAGCGCACACAGGACCATAATTTCTGCAAGTTCTCATACAGGTTTGGAAGCAACGAGTAAACATAAAGAAAGAAAAGAAAAGCAAATGTTTGCAGTCTGTAATCCCCATGATTGAACTGCTTAATTATAAGGAATTTGAATATATGCTGCATCACAGACAAATGGAATATCAGCATACATCCCTGCAAGAGCGCACCTCATACACTCCAAAACTGTGAACAAATAGGCAAATGCGACTGCAGTCCAAAAATGCATCCCGACCTTACCCCAGTATACAGCGAGTGGCATCCAACGGCTCACAGTCCCAATAACCTGCAAAGCTATCTCTAATAGCATGCCCATAACCACATGGAATCTAAAGAAATGTGGCCATTCTTTTCTCCTCACTATTCCAAGGTAAGCCACAAAGAAATAAGCCATCAGAAACCAGCTAGGCAATCTCCCTATAGTTCCCAAAAAGGGATAGGTCAGTAGTTCAAAATCTTCCAAGAAAGGGTGCAGATGATATGCCGTTTCAGCATACATCCATGTCTCATGAAGAGGCATCAAATAAGGGAGGCATGCCAAAGATCTCCACCACCATTTTGGCTTCTTAGTCATAGCAGGGTATCTATAACTATAAGGGACATCCTTGGATGCTCTGGCAGGCAAAAGAAACTTGCGCCTCCGGGGCAAGTTGGGTATGGTACGTACCAAACTACCTTGTTCCCCATTCAAGACTGGTGTTGATGCAGCAGAAAGAGAGCAAGGCTGGATGTCTGCTCTTACAATACAAGAATGAAAATTAGGAAAATGTGGATTGGAGCCAATAACTTGAATCACTGAAAAATGCCATGCAACCTAGGATCTTAGAAAAGTGTAAACAGGAATTTGGACTCTCAGAAGTGGACCATTTTATGTGAGCATTCATAACCCACAATATCCACTAAAAATATACAGAAGGGATTCACCAGATTCCAAATCGACTTGAGTATATTACAATCTAAGGTTAAGAGACATTGAAACTTAGTAACTTACTGTGACTAGACAGAAAAGTCAGTGTAGAGCAAAAGGCAACACCTCAGCATTCAGAATAAATGAAAGTGAGGTCTACTGAATCCTAACGAAGTTGGAGTCCCTTTCAAGAAAGAGTAAAATGGCATGCAAAGTTGTTTGAATGACACGATTAACAGATGTCTTTTCCAATCAAATTCAGTTTAGAGGCCAAAACTACGTAGTGTTCAAGAATTTAGCTGGTTACAACAATATTCTCTTCAAGCGAATGCAACACATGAAGGATTTGACAATTTGCGTTAAACAGCCAAAAAAATGTACTGATATTCTTGGAGGTGTGAGGTCAATACGGTTAGAAGTTCAAACACAGTTCAAGGTATATAGGAAACTTAGAAGCATTAGGTATACATCAAATGACCAACTGTGCTTATGGAGGAGCTATACCAGTTTATAGTTACAGGAACCAATTATTTTATGCAAAAGACACATAATTCATCAAAGTACCAAATTTCTCATACTACAGAAAGATTATAAGGCAAATCTGGAACCATTTAAGTTTTATACTGTGCAATTGCTCTTTATTTCACAGGGTTGTTATTTTTCTGAAAGGGTATAAACATACCTAATGATGTTTGGCATTTCAGATTTGGGAGTGGAACCAGTGAACTTCTGCTGCATGAGAATACAGCCTTAGCCGGCAAGTGCAATGTGCGTGATGATGCCAAGTTTTGAGACCTAGAGCCACATTCTCTGTATTTGTAGGACACGTGAATGCCCCGAGAAGTGGGAGAGCATCCACTTAGAATCATACTACAGCACCGAGTTCAACTTCCACCTTAGAATATAAAGGAACAAGAATATTCAAATAGTAAAAAGCATGCAAGACAAATAAAAACTCAATGTTGCTAACAATGCATCAGATAATGAGGAAGGACGTATTACATGGCACACACGTGTGTGTGTGTGAGAGAGAGAGAAGAGAGAGAGAGAGAGAGAGAGAGTGAGTGAGTCATACATATTGTATCTACCGTAATAAGATCTACGTTTCTATGACACAACTTTCACATTTCTTGCTATTGGCACTATGAAAACATGCCTGAAAACATTTAGATTGATGAAATGAAAGAAATACTCATAACAGTGCTATTTTAAATCCTTTTATGCACAAGTAGGATGATGGCAAACACACTGCACGATGCAAATGGTATTTCTTCATGTAAGTTAATATGCATAACTTCAGCAGAGAATTACTCATCAAAGCATATGATTATAAATGGTCCAAGTGTCCAACTTCAGGCGTGCACATTTTTAGAAAACTGTTTTTTGAGTTTTTATAATTTCTTTTGTAGGTGAGGGAGCAAGGTTACCAATTTATTTTCACAAATGCAACAATAAATTATAACACCTTTTAATTCCGACCCTGCTAGCTTTGAACATTATTTTCTATCCCCATACCTCTATAAATTCCCAGAGATATCAATTGGGTTTTAAAGTTAATAATTTTAACATAAAAATCAAAGAAATTCTTCATGACTCGAAACTCAGTAAGATATTACCCAACGCATTTCTATTATCTTAGGTTTTTCTAAACGAATAACGAAATGATAGTTTGCACCATTTGCAGTTCTTGCATAGCCCAAAGTTTTATCATGGTTCTAGTATCAGTTCCATTAAAATCGAATGACAGAAACATAAATGATATTATTATTATTATTATCATATATTTCGAAGTAAATAGAAAACTCAAAAGCATAAATTATGGAGAGAACACAAAATTAAGGAGGAAATGAAACATAGGGGAAGGGCTACGAACACCAAAAGGGAGGTAGGAACCTGGATTTTCTAGCCTCAGTTGGTTATGCGGTGAATTTCTTCTTCTCGGCGGCAAATCAACACAGAGAGGCAACGAGAGTGAGACTGGGAACTGTGAAGATAGGTGAGGACCGTGGATATAATTTTGTTGAGCTACCTTGGGGGGCATAAGTGACTATTTTGCTTAAATAATAAAATAATTACTTATATATCCATCCATACATGACCTACTTGTTTGTATTCCAGAAGTGCACTCTTATGCACCCTAATAAACATGTAAAACGCATAAACGACTGGGCGTTCTCATCATCTTTGATAAAAATAAAATATTCATAAATTGCTCTACGGTATTTTTTAGTAGATAACCCAATTTTGGTTTTATAGTAGGGAATTTCATTTGGAATAGAAAATGTTTCATATATTAGGTTTCGAGTTCATAACCATGAAAAAAAAAATCAATGTCCGACCCGAAAGCGCTTGCTAACATATTGTTAGAAAGTAGTCTCTCTACCTTAGTAGATTGTCAGTGGTACTAAATTCTCTATGTTTATGTTTCGTGCTTGTTAGTTCAAGAATCAACCATGAATGCTACCCACATTACTGACTCAGTGATTGTATCGGTAAGTCAATTACTCAGAAAACTTTTACAAAATAGTCAAAATATATTTTTTAAATTATATTTACAAACAATTGGTAAACTAATTGTTATAATAATGTTTCACATTTTAATTTTTTTTTTATTTTGCATATAATAAAATATCAATAAAACTTGTATTGTTCTCATTTATCAATTGTCAACCAAAAATTTCAATATGTTAAAAATATTCGATGTATCTTAACTGAAAATAATCTCTCCAAACATTACAAATTCATATATTGAAAATAAATTAAATTACTTAAGCACTTTAGTTTTGCTCAAGTAAAGAAAAAAAATACGTATCATAAAGATGGTCAGAAACAAAAAGCCGAAAAAAATATTTAGTTCTTTTTTGAGCTTAGCCAAGCATGCATCCTTTTCTTTAACAGGCACGTTGAACAGCGTCCTCACCTCTCAACAGTCCCAACACTTCACGACTTCAAGCTGCAATGCACCACAAGAAAAATAAAGTAATCTAATACAGCACTGTACAATAATACAAAGACGCTATAAGAACTCTCCAACATAACCACAGGTAACACAGATTGGTACATACATCACCGAGTCGTATAAGCAAATTTATAACAAGCCATACATTGACCAATGCCAGCTAATTTACTCCTATAACAGTATCATGCTTCAATTTCATCTCGACAGAAGGATACGAGACAGCAGAATAAAATTCCATTCTGAACCAAAATATGGTTGACATGCTGAACCATGACCAAACTCGAATCATACTTTTAGTAGGATGTTACAGAGGCTTTCTAAACAAGGTCTTCCTGCAGCCATAATCCAAGAAAATCTTCCCTCGCTTTTCCTTTTTTGCAGATTCCGGTCCTACTCAAAAATCTCAGTCACATTGCACAAATGATCTCTCCACTGCTGTCAATATCAATATCAATATCAAGATCAGGGTCAGAATCCAGGTCTTCCATGTCATCGTCCGTCATGCTCAGGTTGTACAAACCAGCGGGAGGTATAGTTGCCTCTGAGATTATCTGCATGATGACTTCCAGACTCTGCATGGGCTGTTCGGGCTCTTCAAACTGGTTTCCCATTGTCCTTTCATCCATTAGATCTGCCGGAAGGTTCTTCAGGAACCACGAGTGGTTTCGAATCTCCGGGATGGTGATGCGCTAGCAAGGAATATGTCATAATAGCTTATGTGAACAGTGACAAAAATTTATAATGCAAATACTCAATCCACATGAAGAACCACAAGGCAGCCGTTTATAAAAATTAACTTGACTCTGAAAAATGATATGTTACACTTCTCAATTTCACAACAAAGATAAAAGTATATTTCTCAAAGCTGGAATCGCTTACTTGTGCAGGGTCTGCAACAAAGATCCGCGAAATTAGCTGCCGACATTCCTCCGAAATTTTAACATGTTCTGGAATGGAATACTGAACATTTGAGATTCTATCAATTGTCTTTCTGAAGTCCTTAGGTCCTTCGGGATCCTCAAATGGATAGGCACCTACTAGCATCACATATAAAGTGACACCGCAGGACCATACATCTGCAATCTGAAGCAGTGGCATGATTTGCGATTCATCAGCCAGCAATCTAAAGATCTATATACATAAGAAAGTAACCTAGAATGGAAAATGCTTCTTGTACATAACTATTTACATAATATTTTACATAATGATGAGGTGTCAAAACGCAAGTAGGGAAGTTATTTGATTGATGAGATTTTGTTCCAATTAAATTTTGTCACATCATTTGTTGGTAAACCATTATAGAAGTTGTTATGTATATGTAGCACAACCCATCTAGAATATTTGGGGGATGGGGTTATTTTCAGAAAAATAAATAAAAATCAGCTACCAAGTAAATAGCATTTGTCCCCTTAAGGATTAGTTTCTTGTGGTGGTTGTCTCAAGGGTTTGGAAAGAAAATATACATTGTCAGCAGTCCCAAACTCAAATTTATGCAATTGATTTGCCCAACTCCATTCTGGTAAAAGTTACATCAAATATGGAAAGAGATGAAAGACAAATTACACTACGTCTCTCTCTCTCTCTCTCTCTCTCTCTCTCTCTCTCTCTCTCTCTNCTCCCTCCCTCCCTCCCCCTCCCTCTCTCTCTCAATTTATTGCATATTTGGGGTTTAAAAATCAACTAATTCAGGCCCATTGTTCCTGGGTTCCAGTCCTGCTCGACAAATGAATTTAAAGACTAGGTTCTCTATCAGTTTCATTAACAGTCAATCCAGTCCATTCTGAATTATACATTAATTTTCTACTTTTAGTTTTACTACTAGTAGTTTTAATTTATTAACTCCCAATTTTGAGAATTAATTTATGTTTTCTGTTGAATGGCTTTTACATCTTCTTAAATTGTTAACTATTTTTATGTAGATCTAATTATGCCAAATAGTAGGATATAGAGAACTAAAAACATTTCAGGATCAGTCATAAAGAACTTGCTGTAGTTTTATAACTTAGAGAAGAGAGATATACTACAAATTTGTGAGATATCTTGTACAGTATTATTGACTCTAGCATTAAACATGTCACTGGAGTATTGACTAAAATTGACATCAAAAGAGAAGTCAGTGGTTTAATGCAAGTGCAACACCTCAATTGTAAAAGTAGAGTTGACTGCCACTGAACCAACCTCTTCAAAATTAGCTTACAGTTCTACAGTCTGAACCAATTTTACTTGAGAACTATAGATTATGTAATGCTGCTAGCATGATTTTGTACCTAGAGTTTTCAGTTTGTACTCTTAAATTGTTCCCGTATGAATGAGAACAGATTTCCATGGAAAGTGGAGTTGGTAAAACATCTTTTTTTCATTCCCACATCGTTTTATTCTGTGATACACTAGCTGAAAACAAATGTACAAGGCCCTCAAAATTAAGCACCACTTATACCAAGGGATGGAAGAAACATAAAAACAACATTGGGCCATGCATGGTAGATTTAAAACTTCACCTTCAACCAGAACAACTCGAGATGATCAATTAAGAAAATTGTAAGAGAAGTCAGTTGTTTCTTCATAATGAAATAAAACAGGTGATAAAGCTATCTATCCAAGCAGACGATTACACCTCACAGATCTTATAGGAGTTCATAGGGATTTTTTTTTTGTCAGTGCAATTGAGTATACGAATATAAATATAAATATCATATAAGAACTAACTGAAAAATTCTTGTGAGAGCACCCATTTTATGCGCATATATGCCTATATCCCAACCCCAGATGGTGAATTAAGAAAGTTCCAAACAAACATCAAGAAATAGGGAAAGTTTTCAGTATAATGTCATACCAAAACTACGCAACACGATTTCCAAATATTTCATTAGATTATATCTGAAATCCACATCCAGATGTTCTTAGCATATTTTGGTGTTTCTACTATGCATGAATATAAATTATCGTAACCACATTCATGATGTATAGCGTGAAATTCTGTCAAAAACAGAGTGGATGGTTTTACCTTGCCATCATATTCTTTCATAAGAAACACCTCAGGAGCAATATACGCTGTAGTTCCAACAGTAGATTTTGGTTGTGAATGCAGCAATGAAGACTGTGAAGAACAAGGTATACTCAGGATTGAAAAAGGACACGGTAGATAATTATGAGATACAAAGCAAATAAACATAAGCAGGGTTTTCTGTATTATCCGAAAGCTGATCAAAATACAATCAAGACAATCCATAAGCAATACCTTAGAATACCCAAAATCACAGATTTTGAGTCTTGGAGCAGGACTTCCATCCAACAGTGCGTTTTCCAGCTTCAAGTCCCTATGACATATTCGCTTCATCAAGAAACATAAGACTGATCCTTCAGTTTATTTCCAATTAATACAGGCAGAAAATTACCATAAATAATAAACGACTTTTCAACTAAAACATTAGAATACCATTGAATGACAGTAGCTGACTCCAGATATAAGTTGTTGAAAAAAGAAGCGAGCCTGCCCCAGAAACGGAAGTAAATATCATCAGTCACAAGCGTGCTGCATGGAACAACAGAATAATAGACATTTAATTATAGAACCTCATCCTCATAGAAGTGTCCCGCATTGCATTTGCAGATTCGCTCAAAAAGCTCTCCTCCAGATGCATACTCCATGACAATGGCCAAATGAGTTGGTGTTAGAATGACCTAACGTTGGATGTCGAAAATGTGACAAATAAGAAAATAAAACGTCTCAGAATCATATAAATGCGGCGGAGGGATAATCAGCAGCAAACCTCTTTAAATCTAACAATATTAGGGTGCCTCAAAGAACGGTGATTGATAATTTCTCTCTGAACATTTTCATCTATCTGCAATAAACATTATCAGGGTCAATGATTGTTTAAGTACAAAATGACATTAGAGAAATAAAAAGAAGTTCAGGTATAGAAGATATCTCATGAAGCCAACACCAACTCTGCAGGCGAAAAAGAAATACTTCGTGGAATATCAAAGTCCAACTTTTGGGCATTGCATGGAGGGAATAATGGAAAAACAAGTTGTTGTCAGGAATAGTGCAGCTATTTATCAGAAGCAAGAAACTTGCTGATTAGCCACAAAGTAGTCAACCAATCGCTATACAAAAATGAAGCTCAAACGAATATAACAAATTACTCTTACCAAATTCTTGCCATTCTCTGTGTATAAAATAAAAAAGAGAATAAATATATGTAATGGCACCAAAATTACATTTTGACTATTTATAGGGTATAGGCGTTCTTGTCATTATTAAATTTTCACTCCTTCACCAACTCCATTTTTTACCATACTAGGTGGAGCACACTTTAATCTCAACTATATCAACAGCACCCTGTCAAAGTCAAAGCAAGACTTGCTAAAGAAAAAAATAAAGATAAAATCATCCTGCTTCATACAATAAATAAATCGCATTCCCACACAGAAACACCACACAAATGAAGCAATTGTAAGCCAACAACGTCCAGACCATGTTGGGCATTGGAAAATCAGGCTTCATCAAATCAACTCCAATAGTAATAAAAATGAAATTTTCTTTTGATTTCAGATCCTAGACCAAAACATTACATGGCAAACTTAGAATCAGCAAGTTGTGATATTGAATATGTATATATTAAAAAGTATAGCTAGAGTATATACAGCACACCCGAGCCATTTTTGGCAGTTACTCATTAGACAGTCTACATATATTCCAGTTTGATAAATATATTAATCACAAGATGAGTTTTAAGTTTGACCCAATCCACAGCCAAAACTGGTTCAAGAGCATTTCAGTTGGTGCTATAAGCATAAGACCAAGGCCTAGCTCAAGTGGTTAGAGCGAAGCCTTACCAGGCAAATGACCTGTGAACCTCCTTTGGGGGGAAGGGTGAAATCCTTTCATCCCTTTTTAAAAGATTAGAAATATAGTGCTATAAAAATGGTCGAATGTTCTCCTTCAACTATCATGATCTCAAGAAGCCCTGTTCATTCCTTCTCTTCATGTGCATAATATTTTCCTGAACTAATATTGTAGATGCCGACAATGTAATAGAACTTTCCACAAGCAAGCAATACTGATCTACATGAATGAAATTTCTAACCCACTCCATATGCATTATGAAGTAGCATGTGGTATCTTGATTGCATCCTGAGCTGTGGTGGTTGCTCTTTTATTTTACAACGTACTAGTTACAAAAATCTTCATTTACAACAAAATACTTCGTTCACAATGTACAATGTATATTTGCATAAAAGAATCATATGAATCTTATGTAACAATCAACTTTGGCCAAAAAATTCTAGAAGTGTAATCATCGGAAAATTGGTTCTACAAAGAACTATTTTAGGGGAGGCAATAATATGGACCAGTGAATTATGATATACTGGCTCTTATCTTGCTAAGACTTCAGAGGAAGAAAAATTAAAAAAAAAAAAGGCACAACAGCATAGGATATTGCTAGTAGTAATTTTATTAATCTGCTCACTTGCTTTTTTCAGCTAACAAGTTTGAAGACAATGTCTATCCTATTTTAGAAATCATTTAAGAGAAATATTTTTTTAGAAAAAATTACAACTCTAAAATAGAAAATGAAAATATAAAATCTCAGGAGTAAATGTTTCCAAAGATAGAATTATCAGTGTTTGTACCAATTAAAATAATTGCATACAAAATCAGAGCTATTTCAATATTACTCAGAAACAATTTTCAACAGTAGAGAAAACAAAGTACAATGAACATGAGTTGCTATTGAAAAATATTAATCTCACCTGATCGCCTTGTTCAATATACTTAGCAGCAACCAGATCATTGGCCTGTTTATCCTTCAAGAGCCGGACCACCCCGAAATTACCTCCTCCAATATCCCTAATAAACTCGTATCGATGGCTGTAGTGCACAATTGGCACTACCTGTGCCCCTTCTTATTGACAGCCAATCCATTTATCTGATTAACTAGTAGTACAATCGACTACCTATCTAACTAGGAAAAGTAACCACAGAGAAACATCAGCTGATGAAATTGGAAGGAGATCTACAGTGATAAGGTGGTTTTGCCCATGGTCATTTTTTTAAACGAGAAGCAACATATCGGAAGAGTGGATGGGAGTTGCAGCTGTATTTTCACTTTTCTAGAGAGCAAGGGACACTCGGCGATCGATGGGATTGACGTGTGTTCTACTGCATTCTATTAGAAAGCGATTGAAGAGGAGGAGAAGGTGATGCTGACATCACGGTGTCGTTTTGCAGTAGCTGAAAAGCATTAAGCAACGATGTTTTCATCTCAAGAAGACAATTTTTTGTCTTACACATTTATGCTTCTTTTCAAGTGTTTTCTTCTATAGTTTTTGTTTCATTCGAAGGGTCAAATGACAAAAGTATCCCTTGTTTAAAAAATCTTTGGAGTTAATAAAAATGATAAGCAAGAACTTCAAGTTCAGAAAAAAACAGATGTCCTGATACACAGTGGGTCTAGTTTAACATGGAAGATTTATCAGCTTAGGCCCATCGGATTGGTGGAAAATAACTAATTACCAGCAAAATTAAATCTTGATCTTCCATTTTTGTGACATATCTGCCCAACTTACTATATGAGCACTTAATTTATTTGATTCACTCTTTTCACTGAAATTAATTTCTTGAGATCAAGACGAGTGGAATAAGAGGATCAATATAGTCAATCACATATTAGTAGGGAATAAGCTTTATTGTATGGAGTGGAGTATGACATTGACTAATTTAATATTAATTTTAGAGAGATGCCTCAAAACGGTACCAGAGCGAAGCTCAGAACGGTAATTCCAAATTTTAAGTGAGACCTCTTCAACTAAGTGGTCACATCCACACCATTTCAGTTTATGCATCATCTCACATAAAATGTTGTTTTATCCCTGGGTTACATCGCACTTGTGAGTCTTTGATTAACTTCACTTCAATCTACTAACATCAGTCGTACTTCCTATATAGCAGCTCCGCTCTATGTAAATTGGTTTTACCTAGATGATGTGAATGATACGACCATCTTCATATTGATAGCATTAGCGTCGAAAAAACCTGTGCTAAAATTATGCAATTCACAGTTGACGTCATATAATTTGTGTACAGCAAGAACCTAGCTAGCAAGAGAGAGGTTTCCAAAAATTATAGAAGGAAGAGGAGTTTTCATAGTTACATGGATCTGGATCAGACAGTGGTCCTGTAGCAGTCATGACTCTCAGGACTTTAACTCCAAGGGCCAATCATGGCACCATTAAATGATGCTATAATAATGCCTTCACTTCACTTCAAGATGTTATTTACCAATAAGTATAGGAAAAGCTACTTTTTGAGTGAAATACTTTGTATATGCAGAAAATCTGAGCGACCGATCGAGACTTGAACCGTGTTCCATTACATTATACTTTGCTATTAGCTGTGTTGTGGGATATTTAATCAAGTAAGCGGATAAGTATGTATTGGAAGAACACAATTTTGTTCACAACAAATAAAATATGACTAAAAGATGCAAAGAGTTTGGACGGGGTCCTCCTAAGAATTCTGTAGGACACTGATCATGTCAGCTGATGACCAGATATTATAACTATTAGACAAATACAGAATAACTGTTAATGTGATATCTTGAACATTCTATCATGAGGTTAGCAAAGAAAATCTATAATGTGGAAGAAATAACCTACTAGTCCTCAAAGAAAGGGTTCATGATAAGACTTGCATCCTAAAGGTATGTACGATAGGAGTGGAAACAAGATGTAGAGGAAATACAGAAGGTAGAATGAGGAAAGAAAATTGTTTTTCCACTGTTCCCGTTGGAAGGAGGGGGGAGGGAAGAAGTATAAGGTTGAAAAGAACTTATTTTTCCTTCATTTTAAACATCGTGCAAGATACATTAATTCAGAAAATTCCGATTCTCATATAGATCAAATAAGAGGAGGATAATCCACTTTCCTTCTGCAAAAGAAAATAGGAATAACTGTCGCCCAGGGGCATAGCTCAGTGGTGCAACGGACAGAAGTGAGGTAGTTTCAGCTGAACTAGCAGCCGCAGTGTGAGAGTTCGATTCATGCCTCTTACAAGGTATGAAATTGAACTCTTTGTGAGCACCAATATGACAGTTCTTGTACCCTGACCTACTGAAGGACATCCCGCGATTTACCTCCTCCACAATGCTCTAGGGGCGGGGCGATAGGGGCCCTCAAGGTTGGGGTTCAACCTTTTTTTTCAAGAAACTAGGAATAACTTTTCTCCAACATTGCCATCCGGAGAACTTTCCCTCTTACAGGAGATACCTAATATGCAATCTTAGATTCTTAAAAAAACATACTCTTATTGGTCTCAGTAATGTACCAACTAAAGTAAGCAACTTTTCAGCAGCAATGTCAGCACTCAATTAGAAGATGGCAATCTAAGCACAGAAGTCAGGGGCTCCGCAGTGGCCTCGTTACCCCAATCCCATTTCCCTTTATCCCCCAGAAACAAAAAAGAGACTCGTTTCGAAGAAAAGACCTAGCCTCTATTCGTGTTTCCTAAATAATTACTAAAAATTCATTTTTCTATCAAAGTCAAAATCAAACATTACTTTCAACCTTTTGTGCGACCTAGCACTATTCCTCCTAAAATTTACTAATATTTTTTGATAAGCAGAGGCCAGGAACTATATGTATGTGCGCGTGCGCGCTAGCGCTACAGCTCGTGTACCCACATCTGCATCTATGGTCTTCAAAACTTGAGAAGCGCTTTATTGGTACTTAATGAAATGAAAATTTCAAGAAACAAAAAGGTTTTAATTAGTAAGAGAAAAAGTAGAGTAGATTGAGTAGCTTCTATCAATTTTTTTCCTTTTTCTTCTTTATTAATACAGAAACTCTTCCTTTATCCCCTGGTATTTTCTCTCACCCCCTCCTAAAAACACACATGTACTCACACAGAAAAACGCTTATCAAATAGTCTGGTTTCTGTATCTACTTTTTGTGTAAAAATACCCCCTTCACTGTTTCTCTTAGCGTACATGTTTTTTATGGAGTTACAAATCCACCTCATACTTGTAGAAAAAGAAGTTTAGATAAGCAAGCTGGATTCTTTGTTGGGTGTATTAAGTATTAGCTTCCTACTAAGCTCATATACTTAATTGAGTAGCAGTAAATTGTGATTGCAACATGTGTAAATATTTCCCACATTAATGTCAGTGAATAGAGTATATAACAAATGTGCAGGGCTGTTATGTAGTTACTAAATGCTTCCGATTAAATTTATTTTTAGATCTGTTTGAGACTATTTTTTGCCCAAAATGTATTTTGTAATAATATTTTGATGGAGAATGTGTGGTTAAAAAATAAGGAAAATTTTTGGATTTGTGTGTAATATTATTTTATCGAAGAATGTGTGATTCAAAATAAGAGAAAGAAAAATGTATTTTGGAAATAACGGAACCGAACAAATGCTAAATAAGCTGAATATGGTACAGATCAACCTTGTTTGAAAAATTGCCAAATGAAGCCCTTGAAAAGTCTGGCGCAATATAATTATCAATTTACAAAGAATAACATCCCTAACTTCTATCAGCTCTCGAGTTGAAGATGATATTAATCCTATTAAAAGTAATCGTTTTACAGTGTAATCTTACCCGAAAAGGTAAAAAACCAAATTTGTGCCTCAAAATCGCAACCTAAAATGCTTAATCCTAGAGGAATTAAAAAAATTCCCTAAAGTAGACATTCCAAATTTGCACCAACAACAATAATTACGTACCGAATCAAAGAGTCTCCAGTATTTACACAAAACTCAGTACCAAAAGCAGATAAAGACAAGACGCAAATCACGAAACTGACCTTGTCGCCTCGCTCAATATACTTAACAGCAACAAGCTCCTTTGTCTGCTTATCTCTCATTAGCCGCGCAACCCCGAAATTACCCGACCCGATGTCTCGAACTAAATCGTATCGATCACTACCGTGCATGATCGGCATATCCATTCCAGGACCAACTGTTACGTGCACCCGATCCATTTACCTGATTGAGAAATATGAGGTCTTAAGCCCAGCTTCAATTGATGAAACTCAGTTCATTCACATTACTCAGTAGTCAGTTCCCAAAACGACCACGTTTTTCTATCCGCGGTGAATAGTTATCAGCTCGGCCGATCGGTAGAATTTCGGTCTAGGTTTTTTGGGAAATAACTGACTGATTAAGAAAGTGTAAAAGGCAGTTGTTTTGTACTTTCACTCTTTAGAGAAAAAAAATTTTCGTTGTGGTCGGCCAAGGATCAGTCAGATTAATCTCTCTTTTCTATGTCGTAGGTGATGGGGAAGGGAAATGCAAGGCTGATCACACGATGTCGTTTCCTCAAGCTGGTGGACGATTCATACGACGACGTTTTCTCTCTTTTACTATTTTGATTTGATATCCATTCTAAAAAAAGGCCCCGTACCGCATTGTGAAGGAGGTAAATAGCGGGATGTATCTCATCAGATCAGTGTACAAGAGCTGTCATAGTGGTGCCCACAAAAAGTCTAATTTCGTACTTTATAAGATGTAGGAATCGAACTCTCACACTGCATCTATCAACTTAACTGAAACTACCTCACTCGTATCATTTGTACCACTGAGCTATACCCCGGGAAGCAACTATTTTGATATCCATTCTAATTTTGGCTAAGCCTTTTTTTTTGTGTCAAATTCATATTCAAACACACATTTTAACAATAAAAAATTTTGCAAATAAATTCAAAAAATTTCCCAATTTTAAACGAGACATTCTCCCAAAAAAATTCACTATTTTAAAACTCATTTCTTCAAAAAAAAACTCGTTTTGATGGTTCCCAAAAGTGGAGTCGTGTGAATCAAAAACTCGTCCCACCTAAACATCGCCATCTTAATGTCAACATTGATTGATTAAATCATGTGAAGGAAGTATAGTTTTTCAGGGATTTGGATAGATGGTGATCCAATAAAAAATAGTCATGAATCCTCATTTGACGAGTTTATTGTGATGGTTTATACAAGATATTTTCATTAGCTAAGCAGAAAATAATTGTAAAAAGAAAAGATAACTCTTTCCAATTAAAGCAATAAAGTAGTGAAGACCTCCAGACGATATCGAACGTCGTCGTTGCTTGTTAAAATAATTTGGAGAATAGTTGGCCTAAAATAATTGAAATATCACGAGCTAACTTGTTCGATGTATAATGTATCTCACGTATATATTTTGGACTATTTATTTTTAATTAATATAAAATAAAATAGAAATGAAATTTATTAAATTTTTTAAGACGATATAGGGCTCTTCCTTGAGCTAATAATAATAATAATAATAATAATAATAATAATAAATATAAGATTTAATTTTTTTTGCTAGAAATTAGACTAATAGATTATAATGTTAACCTCCAAAATAAAATATAATATTAAAGTTTTAATATGAATGGATAATTTGGTTATTTATTCATTAAAAACTCGAATATACTGGTAATGGGTTACGACTAGCCTGCTTGCCCATCCCAAAAGAGGCCGATCTTTTATAGTTTGGACCGAATCGCTATCGTGGACTTCTTTTGTAAATTGTAACGAAGAAAGAAATTTGAAAAAATCGGCCCTTTTAATTTAAATAAAGACAGATTCTATCTTAATTCAAATACAAAGCAGAATCTGCCTTGAAAACAAGGAAAAAATAACTAATTTTTGCCCTGGAAAAAGAGGCAAAAATTATTTTTTCCAAAATTTATTCAACTTTAGGGGGGAAAAAAAAAACTACACGGACTGGGCAGTTAAACATCTGGCCTAAAACCACAGACTTCATCGGCCCGTCAGTTAGGCGAATTAGCCTACAGACCAGCGCGGTCCAGGCTCAGGCTGGTTACCAATCTGGACTTTGTCGGAAGAAATTAGCCCAATTGCAATCACATCTAAGAGATGAAATATTGTGAATTTGGAACATAATTTTAAAAAGATATTATATTTGGACCATAATTTTTGTTAACTGTACCATAATTTAATTGTAATAAAGTTCTCAAACATTTACTTATTTTCATACTTACATTCCCAGATTCTTTGTTGCATTTTTATCCTAAATCTTCTATTAATTAACACATGTTGTTCATGTTCATACAAAACATCCTTCAGAGGACATAAAAATATTTATTAGTCTATAATATTATTAAATAAAAACAACAGAATATATCATTTGACAAAATGTTTGCTCCTTATTTCAAAATACGTTAAAAGAATATTTGGACAGAAATCGTCATTAGATACAAGATGTGCTAATTAATTGAAAATTAAAGATAAAAGATGAAAAATAGTTTCAATTTACAAATTTAGCACACTTAGGATTCTGCACATTGGCCCCTTGAATTTTAGAAGTGATCTTCTGATTGTTACAAAATCCTCCTGCTGCTGCCCATCCATAGTATTGTGTGGTTTCGCATTACGTTTATGTTTCACGATCTGCGTGAGCACTGCTCGGATTCTTCTTGTGTTTAGTCCAATGTATCTATAAATGAATTTTATAGTGAATGCATAAACATTTCATGAGACTGATAGCTTTACTGCAAATTGGGATTCTCCTTATTGACGTAATTTGGACTATGCGCATCTTGAAACTCAGTTTCTGAATTGGAAGGATTGGGGGCTATAAGAATTGACACACAATTGCCTCTTGCCTTCATCTTATTTCCATTAGTTTTGGTAAGTTTCCAAGATCAATTGTAATTATTCTAAATATCATATCTGCTGTCCGCTTTGAAACAATCTTTACCCATCTTATTCCTTACGAATTTTTATCACGTTCCCATTATTCGAATCTAAAAAATCTATGTCTTATGAGGAGTTGAGGATTGTTATCAAAAATTGGTTGTCCAACTTATTGGACACCAATGATTTATTGATACATCATTTTACACATATTTTAAAGCACAAGTAGTAGTGAGAGAAAAGTTAGATGTGTTAATTTAAAGTGACGTGACAATGAATCATTAGATGGATAGTAAGTTCGACAGCCAATTTTGGACGGCAGATCTCAACTCGTCTTATGGGATACTTTAGTTGAATTTTGTACTGTCTATCTAAGACAGTGTTATCACGTGAGCAAGGAATCACTCATGCTATAAGTACGGACAAATTTGATAGAAAATGTTTACAGACAACACTTGACATACATTCATCGAAAAATAGAAAAAATAAAACAAAACGGACTCATTCCATTTCGCCATGTCATTATCGATAAAAAATCTCTCAAACATTTTCTGTACTGGGGGATCTTTCCCCTGTAGAATTATCTGCCATTGTAGCACAACTTTTGGAAAATGTAAGAAGAAAAAGTTGCAGTTCTTAAAGAATTCTGTTGATTTATTGTTTATCTGTTGTAATGCACTAAAGGTGGTCTAAGGAGTTTTGTAACTGTAGATTCTTTCCTTCAACTGTCTAAATTAGACGAGTGGTGGTGAAGGGATGCAAAGTGGGAAACACGTCATTTTGCCAGAAAAGAGCAGACACATCACAAATTACAAACAATTTTCAGGATTCTCTCAATTAGGATCATAGGCCACTGCTTACTTTTGTATGTATTGATTGACTGGCTACTCTTAGTGCAAAATCACTTGTTTGTGGAATATCTTTCTTTTCTGGGACGATTTTTGTTTCTTTATTTTTATTTATTTTCATTATATCTGATTTCTAATGGATTATGAATCACACAAGGTGATACTTCTTTAGAATATTTATTGAAAAGATTTGCAGATAAATATGTACCATTGGTGGTGGTACTTGGAAAATATTCCTTTGCTAGATGAATTGTTGAGAATTATCTTGTTAGATTATGCTTCAATCATCCTATGTAATGTTCCTAGGACAATTTAACACGCCAATGAATTCAAGGACGAATTTAAGATCCATTTTATAGTGTTTTTAATTTGCATCTACTTCTTGTGGAAGAGATTTGTAAGAAAATTATTTTAAACCATTTTTATGTATAAATTCTTCTAATCAGATAAAACACTTATGATCCGTTTGATAGGTAAAGGTGGAAAGGAATTTCAATTCCATGTTAGTTGGAAAATAAAAACCTACTAAACCCATATGAATTCGTTTTCCATTAAAACCAAGAAAATGCGGATTAAAGTGGTTGTATCTTGAAATTCGATTTTCATTTCCACATTGCAATCAAACGGTCAAAATGAAATCCGTTTTCCTCGGATGTAACATTTTCTATGGAAAATGTGATAATTAAACAGGGCCTTAGGGTTCGTTTGATAGACAAAGGTGGAAATGAAATCAAATTCTATGTTAGTTAGAAAATAAAAACCTACCAAATCCATAGGAATTCATTTTCCATGAAAATAAAAAAAATACAGCTTAAAGAATTTTTTCCCTGCAAAATCCATCTTTATAGACATTTGTTTATTTTGATACTATTTTGAGATCGAAGTTCTCTTTTAGTTCCACTAAATAACTTTAGTCTACAAAAAGCAAGGATAATTGGGAACCAACCAATTATGCCAAGACAATTAATAAACCCGTGGAGACTTTGTTTGCCGCATAATAATCTTATCGAATTTCATAACGCAAATCTTATTTAGAAGATAAGGGAATATTGTAATTCGAGATAGGAATATTTCCTGCGTCTTATAATGTCTATCTTAGGCTATGGATGGATTGGGAACGGGGAACCCATTCAATCCATCCATTCAAGAATCTTTATCCCTAACTAAGCTGTGGACTGGACTACGAACATACAATCATTTTGGTGTACTTTTTTTTGAGTAATGCTATTCATCCCCACGGGGATTACAAACAAAGTTTAGGCAGCGTTAATGTGGCATTAAATGATAAATAAAATTAAATAAGTCATTTAATTTCATCTTTCATTTAATCTATCATTTAGAACCACTGGGGATGAATAACATTGCTCACTTTTTTTTTTACAATATTATTAACAACATTACATGTGTTATATTGTCATTTGACAGTTTAAAAAATAATTTATCTTTCGAATCAATACTTTTCTGGCACTTACAACGTTGTCAACATACATGTACAAATAGCATTATTCTGAAAAAGAATAATTTTGTCTAATCAAAACCGTACATGTAATGCAAGTACATTTTTGTAAATGGACATATATTCTCAGAAAAGAGAGCGCAAATTTTAGATGGATCATCCAAAATTATGTATCTTCGTGTTGGATTTTGGTGGGTGGGTGTTGGAAGTTTTTTTTTTAATTTGGGAGTGGGGTGCGGGGTTCTTTCTTTTCTTTTCTTTTTTGGTGAGATTCTTGTGTTCTGGGAATCCACAAGGGCCATTATGAAATGTGATTCTTGTTTGTGTTTAGTAATCTTTAGATTGTAAAGCCATTGCCCATTGGTATGCTAAAGGAATTTATTGTGTGGCGAGCAAAACCCCTCATTATTTTTGTAGAAATCACATGATTTTATGTCCAATCTAGTCTTTCTTTATCGATTCAGAAATTAAGAATCACGATTTTGAAGATGTATCTATAGTAGCATCTTGACATTCAATGCATTGGGAAGAAGATGGAAAATATAATCCTACAAATACTATCAATTAAGATTTTGAGATTCTCAATTTTAAGATAATCTTTGAAACATAACTAGCAAGATATGGTATCATTTGATCCGGTTCGATTTTCTTGAAAATTGAATGGAATTGATTTTATTTGGAACTTCCTACGAAGGTTTATGTTCTGCATGAAAAGTGAGTAGGGCAATGCTCGGGAGCGAACAAGATCAAATTGATTGTTATTTGTGAATTCTTTATTTGACAAAACGTATAAATTGCTAACGAGTGAGATATTTATATTTATATCTATTATTGGCACACATAAAATTTTGAATACTTTTGCATAGATTTATCCTTTTGGGTTTACTCATTGTCTGCTTGATCGATTGTTTTGTGTTAGGGAGCAATAAGATTGTTCTTAAGTTCATAGGTTGTTCATTCAAATGATGATGATCGAATGTCATAGAAAAATTCAGTTTGCTATCATTAAACACCGTTTGATAATCAGATGAATGGTTAAAATCTAATCCAAAAAGTGATATCAAAGTTAAGATCATGAATTTGAGTCACAAGAGCGTCATGTTAAGGGAGGATTTGTTAAGCTCATGGGTTGGGTCACACAAATGTTGACGATCAAATGTCATAAAATATTCGGTCTGATCTTACTAAACATTAAATTATTTTTCAGATAAGATGGTTGAAACACAATCCTAATATTTTGAATAACGGTTGAAAGGTTGGTGGGAAGTATTGCAATTGTAGAGAGGAGATGGGACCAGTGATGGAGGAATTAGTGTGTCAAAGGAAATGAATGAGAAAATAGGTCAAATAATATCGATGGCAAGTAGAATTGGACGGGTTCTGCTTGGCTATGGAACAATCCTGTTTGATGGTCATTATAAAGAGAAATTGGGGAAAAATAATTTTAATCCAGTTTGACCGCCATTCATTTGAACTTTTTGGGAGTAATGAGTTTTGAATAGAATTTTTTTTTTTTTGAATAATATTATTTAAAAATAGAAAAAAAAATGAATCTACTTAAAGTATGAAGAATGTGTAGTTAAAAATAAATGTGATAGAAAAAAGAATTTTGAAATAATCATTAACAAACAAGGACTTAATTGGAAACCAATAAATGAACCAAAAAAAGGGCACTACAAAATTTATTAAATACACCACAATTTTCTTATTTACTTAAATATCCTTAAATTTTAATATACTTTTTAATTAAATAAATTATTGTTACATCACAAACATAAAACCTAATTTCTTTC